AGTTTAAAAGAAAATGTCATTCTGCCATTTAATTTACTATGCAAATGTTCCTAGTTTCTTTCACTATGCAAAGGAAAGAAATGACAAAAAGTTAGTAAGCTTGATTTGCTATTGAAAAAATCACTACTGATTTTCACTTCTCTGCTGAAGTATTATACTGTTCAGATTCACTTAGCTTAGGTTTAGTAGATTTAATTTATGCTGGGAATTAATTTAAATTAGTAGTACAGAATTAGGCCCAAAATAAAGATGTCTCTGTAAATGAGAGGGAAAATTCATGTTGAGAAGCAAGCAAGAAGAAATCATTAAAAAGGACTCACTCAGCAGGAAGACACCAAGTCCTGGGAAAGAAATTAAATTCTTTTGGGAAGAGTTTTAGCATCCTGCTCATGTTCCTGGCCAGCAGATCTTTCCTGCAGATTTCACTCATCCCTGGAAAATGGTTGATTTTCTGGGGGGTGGGGAGGAAGTCCAGAAAAAAAGGCACAATAATAAGCAACTGTTCTTTTTTTTGCATTTAAAAAAAACCTCCACCAGCTCCTAGTGATGAGTACCTGATAACTTTTCATCTCTATTACCCGATCCAGTGACACTGAACAGTCTGTCCAGTACAGGGTCCACTCATCATTATCACCTCCTTCCCGCAGGCCATATTGCTTAGCAGCTCGATGCACTGCATCAGAAGAATAGGAACAACTTAAACCATAGTGTAAAAATTTAGACAATTATTTGGGGGCACAGAGTGGAAGACAGAGTCATAGTTCAATTAATGCTATTCAACTCAGCCATTAACTTTCAGGGATAAGTGCCAGTCCTCTGGTCACTCTGAATGTCATTCTGTCTAACAAATTAAGCAATTGATCAACAGTGACTTCTGGGCAAGCTCATCAGTCCATAGTGATACTAAAGCTTCACTCTTGTCTAGAAAAAAACTGCTAGAGTGAGTTTTCAGTGCTGTTAGTCTAACTGGTGGTGAAAAGCAGACCATCTTGAAATATAGTTGTTAATGATACATTTGGAATAGAACTATTTATAGTGGCTCTATGTGCTCCTAATCCAAGACAAGAATCCAAATCTCGAGCTGGCAAAAGCTTGCAGATCTAATGTAGGATTTGAAGCCTTGCCTAACTTCAGTCACGAGAGAGATATGTATGATGATCTCAAGCTAGACCATTTAAAAAGTGCAGCATCATTAACGGTTTGGACTTGGTGAGGACAAGAACTAGAATACTAGATGTTCTGGGTCAGCAATGATGAATTCTGATATAGCCATGTAGGTCCAACATGGGGAATAACAGGGTACAGTGTTAACACAGTGCTGCTCAGATTGCCCATTTTTAAAAGACACTGTCAAATGGTCACACTGATAAAACATTACAAATGATAAACCATTCAAAAATGAAAAAAATGACAAAATAGTTTTCTATAACAGGCCTTTTTTTGAGAGCAAGTGAATATCTCCCCATAACAGGGAGCCAGGGGGCTCCTGTTACTTTAAAAGAGTGCAGCAGGTTAAAAGTGCAGTGTAGGGCTGCAGCAGCAGGAATGCAGGCTGGCCCTTAAGTAAAAGGGCCTATGCATGGCTGGGGAGCCTCATGACCAGGGATCATGGTTTTTTCTGACATAAAAAAATCCCCAATTTTTGGTCCAAAAAAATCCCAAATCCATATTTCTGTGATTAAAATGAAACATCACTATATATATTAGCGGTGTTTCATTTAAATCACGGAAAAATATGGATTTGGGGTTACTTTTTTTCAACCGAAAATTGGGGATTTTTTTATCTCAGAGAAAACCAGAATCCCTGCTCATGACAGGAAGGAATATAAATCCAGGGACTGAGCCACAGCAGGCAGTCTGGCCCTGCATGCTGCAGGGAGAGGAGCTCCCCAGGGAAGCTGGCTGCAGGAAACAGGCCCATGGACACCCAAGCTATCCATGACAGTGAAGCCAAGACAGCTAAGGGAGAAGTATAGTTTGTGGTATGGTATTGACTAGGCCTGTGTGAAGTGGCTAGTATTCGCTTCAGATTCAGCCAACTGGGGGGACTGCGATTTGATCTGGTGATTCGAATCAATGAGCTGAATCGATTCAGCTGAATCTGATTCAGAGATTCAGAGGCTGCCAAATCTCTGAATCACCCAGGCCCACCCCCCAACCGGTCTCCCAGCCTGCCAATGGCTGCCCCACCGGCCCCAGCTCCCAGCACTTTGAAGAAAAAAAAAAATCCAACTCAGCGGATGCTGCCTGGCAGGGGGGGTATGTGTGTGTGTGATCCCTGCTGACCCCCACTGCCCCACACCATGTGGGGGGGCTCTGCCACAAGCCCCCCCTGCTCCCCCTGCTGTCCCAGCCCCATCATGGCTGTCCCACCCATCCCAGCTCAGGCCCTTTAAGAAAAAAAACAAAAACCAAAAACCCTGAACTCACTTCACTGGTTCCTGCCTGGCAGGAGGCAATCCCCGGTGCCCTCCACTGCCCCACGCCACACGGGGGTCTCTGCACCAGCCCCTTGAAGCCCCGAGGCCATTGCAGGAGGGGGCTGGGGAAACAGGCAGGGGGATGGGTGAGCAGGCAGGGGCTGGGGGCTGGCTGGGGTCCCCC